CTTAGCTGACGAACAACACCTAAAAACCGAACTACACACTCTCACCAATGTACTAACATCCAATGGATTCCAAAGAAATAAGATTACAAACCTAATCCAAAAAGAAACCCCCACTAAAATCCAAGACAAAGAACAAGAAAACGGCAAAGCCCTCCTCCCATACATAAAAGGCACCACAGACAGAATCAGTAAGATCCTCCATAAACACAACATCAAAACAGCATTCTGCACAAACAGAAAAATATCCACCATCCTTAGAAACCCCAAAGATAAAATTGAATTAGAAAATCAAGGAGTATACGAAATCCCATGCACCACTTGTCCCACCACATACATCGGACAAACCAACAGAAGAATAAGTGCACGCATTGAAGAACATAAGAACTCAGTCAAAAAAGAGGAACCAACATCTTCCCTGGTCCAACACCTTAAAGCCACGGGACATGAAATTGACTTTAAAAATACCAGAACCATTGCCAAAAGTGAACATTTTTTTATTGAAATTTTTTAAGTTTTACAAAACAATTCCCTTCCCCAAACCCCCCCAACCCTCCCATACCCTCCCCAATCTCCCCAATCCTCCTATACCCTCCCCCAACCTTCCCAGAGCTGAGTACAGGCTTAGTTAAAATTTTTCAAAAAAACTTGAAACACATATAAATCCTAAGCAAATCTAAATACATTGATTAAACAAGTTATCTTCTCTTAAAAATAATAATAAAAAAAATATAATTACAATCATTAAACACATTATAATATACTCTAAACATTTTCTAATGTCATACTTATATTATTGTCCATCATTCTTTATAAACTCCCTCCAAAACACAAATTTAAACATTACTTAAAACATTAAAATTACCTTATACATATTTAAAGCAAAATGTTCCTTTAAATACTCCTTAGATATCTATACATACAATATAGAATCTAATCTCTCTCTCTTTCTTTATCCTAAAACACAAAAATAAACATATAAACATTCATTATACCATTAAGACAAAATACTCTTTTAAATACTCCTTAAATTGCTAAACTTAAACTTCTTATCTAAAATTTTCTTTCGATCTCCATAATCTTCTCTCCTCTTTACCAATAACCAATTCCATCCACAATGAACACATTCCTTATCAGTCTCTCTCGAAAGAAGTGCTTTGAAATCTGCCCTTAAAGGTTGCTCCAAAAAGTTTATAAATCTTGCTTCTCCCGCAGACTCAGAAACCAATACTTGTGAGGCTTCCTTAACCTCCTTCTTCTGTTGCTCCTTTTCTTTACGTTTATGTGTTGCACGGGTTGTCCTCTGCTCCTTCATCTCAACTTGTTGAGGCCCCTCGAACTGAGATCTCTCATTTTTCATAAATATAGGCTCTTCAGGCTGCAATTCTACCCTTAAAGGTTGCTCCAAAAAGTTTATAAATCTTGCTTCTCCCGCAGATTCAGAAACCAATACTTGTGAGGCTTCCTTGACCTCCTTCTTCTGTTGCTCCTTTTCTTTACATTTATATGTTGCACGGGTTATCCTCTGCTCCTCCATCTCAACTTGTTGAGGCCCCTCGAACTGAGATTTCCCAATTTTCATAAATATAGGCTCTTCAGACTGCAATTCTACCTTCTTCTCTTCCAAAGCTTTAAACGTAATAGATGGCGATGAACATACCCCCAGGACCGAAGTGTAAAACTCTTTTGCTTTACATACAGTATTAAGTCTATAACGTGTCCCCAGGTAATTCACCACCATTCCAGTCGGAACATCCCATCTGAACAAGATTCGCCTCTTTTTAAGTTCATCTGCTAAAAAAGCAAATTCCTTTCTTCTTCTTAAAATTGTAGATGGGATCTCCTTTAAAATTATAACATCTTGTGAAGCAATTTGAAACCTCTTCTTATAAAAAGCTTGTATAATTTTGTTGCGCAGGGATCTTTTCCCAAAATAAATTACCACATCTCTTGGCAAATTCCTTTGCTCTGCCACCACAGAATTAACTCTAAATGTTTTTTCAATTTCACTAAGTATTTCCTCTTTTTCTCTATTCAAAATCACAGCAAAGTCATTTGCAACCATCTCTCTCAGGTCTCCTTGCACAGACTCTCTCAAGCCTCTAATTCTTAAAGCATATTCCATTTGTCTATATTGAAGCATAAGAATCTCATCTTGAAAATTTTCCATCTCTTTTTCCATGCTTTCAAATTTTCCCTCCATCAGTTCCACTTTGTCTGTTACCTCTTCTACATGAAAGTTCAACTTTTCAAGAACAGAGGCAACTCCTTTTAAAGCCAAAACTATCTCTTGCCTCAAAATCTTATTATTTTCCTCTAAAATCTCTTTCATTTCTCCCCTAATTTGAGATATAGCATTTCCCATTATGTCTTGCAAATCCTTCACCATTATTAACTGTGCCAAAGAAGAGGGTGAAGCTATTGATTTAGGTTGTTGCGCTGGTAATAACACCGAAGAAGAAACCACCTTAGGAGCTGTAGGAGTTACTGAACGCTTTGGAGCCATCTTAAAAAATCTTTACTCCTTCTTAAAAATTACCCAAAAAAAGGAAAGAAAAAGTTAAGCAAAAGAAAAAGAGAGATTAACTCCAAAAAATCAAAAAATCCTTCAAAAGGAGATCATTATAATAAAAAGAAAAAAGCTAAAAAAAGAAAAGGGAAAGAGAAAAAAAATGATTAAATAAAAAAAATCCATTCCATTTTTTTAAAAGTACAAAAAACAAAACAAAAAAGAAATCCTTCAAGAAATAAAAAAAGTTAAACAAAAATAATAATCCTCCTAAAATCCAAACCCAACATCAAAAATCATTATAAATAATCAAGTCCACATTCCATTCCAGTCATTAAAAAAAAAAGACACCAAAAAGCCTTCCGATCACCATTTTACTTTCCCTTTCAACAAAAGAAAAAAACAAAAAGAGGGAATAAAAGTAAATCTTCAAACTTAAAATCCAAATAAAATCAGAAAAAGCAAAATCCTCTACTCAGCTCTGTCCGCTTTTAAAAAAAAACTCACCAGATCACTTTGATCGCGGAGGTGGTTGCAGCGGCTTGTTTTGTCCCTAGAGACAAAAACAGCTGGGAAGCGGAGACAGTCCAAACTCCGTGGGAGCACTCTTTTCACCCCCCAAAAGAAAACCTTGGGGTGCATAAGAGGCTCTACCACTATTCAGACGATCCTCTCCTCCCCCCCTTTGCCCAGGAGGGAGGTTTTGAACTGCAGAACAGCTGATGTCTGCTGTTCATAGCGGTTCTAACACTTACCCAGGAGGATAGCTACGAAGTAGCCGCCATCGCGCGTGCAGATCCACCGGCGCCAAAAGTGAACATTTTAATAACAGAATAATCAGAGAAGTCATCGAGATAGAAAAACGCCCACACAGCATGAACAAGTGAGATGATACCTCCCACCTACCAGCCATTTGGAAACCCACCCTTATTGACAAACAACTCCCTAACACAAAAAATGATACCAGACCCACACTCACAAAAACCACACAGGATGTCACCACCACACATCCACGCAAAAAGCAAACCCAAAGCCACACCAATGATAAGGCACGACCACAAACCAGAAGCCAGACCACAGCTCCATCATTAGCCACTTTAAACCCCTCCAATCCATACATGAAGCAAACTGACACCCTCCATGAAGATGAGGCACGACCACGAACGCGAAGCCAAAAAATAGCAAGGCAGCCCAAAATCTTAAAACCCCCTGCAACTCAGACTAACCTGAGCACAACCAAACAGAACACTCCCCCAGCCAATCAGAGCACAGCCAACCCCCCAGCCAATCAGAGCACAGCCAACCCCCCAGCCAATCAGAGCACAGCCAAGCCCCTAACCAATCAGAACACACCTCCACCCAATCAGAACACAGCCAAGCTCCCACCCAATCAGTTCATACCCCCACTGGCAGTTAAAAGGAATATATATATATATATATATATAATATATATAATATATATATATATATATATATATATATATATATATTATATATATATATATTCTGAGGTTTTCGTGGGTATTTGTATGTAGGTCTTTGGTTGTTCGGGTTTTCTCCCACGTAAAATTGGAAGTGTCTTGGCGACGTTTCGACGAAGTCCCATTCGTCATCTTCAGGCTGGTGCTTTCAGCTTCGTGCTTTGAGCAGCACTTTTACGTGGGAGAAAACCCGAACAACCAAAGACCTATATATATATATATATATATATATATATATATATATATATATATATATATATATAATGATATAGGTCAGGCTTAGTGACTTGAGTTCATCCAGGGAGACACAAATGACAATTTCCAGATTCCTCTATGCAATTTATGGGATGCAAATGACAGGGATGTTTGTATGTCCAGTATTTATTTCAGCCTTGAACTCCCATCCTATTACCTGAGCATTCGAGCCCCATTTCTCTCTTCTGCTAGATAAACTTTTCTTGCTCACAAACAAGTTTTAGAAAGACATTAAAATGGCAGTATGCAGTAAAGTTCAGACTAGATATGAGAAGTCTAAAACAGGTAATAAGCATCATTCTGTTCACTTTCACTGTCCAATTTGTAAAGACAATGACCTCAAAGAGGCAAACATGTAAACAAGCAATTACAATAGGCCTGAAGTGCCTGGGATCACATCTTGTGGTCAAAGAGACACTTAGAATTTCTTAGATTTGGCTCGCCAGATGTCTTTTGCAAGAGTTCAGACAGGAATGATTGGAGGAGTCTGAAGGGATCAGGCAAATGTGTCACAAGTATGCCTCAATCGATTCAATCAGAATAGAGCTGGAAAGGGTCTTGGAGACCTTCTAGTCCAACACCCTACTCAAGCAGGAGAAAAAGAAAAAGAAAAAGAAGGAGGAGGAGGAGGAGGAGGAGGAGGAGGAGGAAGAGGAGGAGGAGGAGGAGGAGGAAGAGGGGGTGGAGGAGGAGGTGGCTCACCCCTTTGTCAATTATACTATAGGGTGACTTCTCAAAGGTTGGAATTTATATCCTACCTGGTTAAACCAATAGTGCCATACAATGGGTTTTTCATTCATAATGACTTTTTGATGTCCTTGATGTTGAGAATTGATCATTCCAACTTTTACTCTAGTAAAAGAGTGGTTTGGAAACAAAACCCAGTTCATGACATCAAATGCTGTTAGAAAAATACCATGCTGATCAAAGGAAACTTTGTCCCCTATGGTATTATTAAAAGACACTTGTTTCAGAAAATGGAAGAGCTAGATGGAAAGGGAAATAAATGATTAATAAACTAAACAAGGGACTGAATATTTGTGAAAATATCCTCAAATTCAAAAGCTTATATGTACTCTAAGTACTTTTACTTGAGAAAAGATCCCTCAAATATAAGTCTCAAATCCAAACATTTCATATTCAATTGTCTGAAAGAGCAGTGATAATCATTAGCCTTAGCTAGCATGGCCAGTGATGAGAGTTGATAGTTCCACTCCAAAGGCATCTGACCAAACATAAATTTTATCATTCAGAAGTCAATTAAATGATTCTCAAAAATTATAGAGTTTGTGCTTGACAACTTCATAATGGAGAACTTTCATAGATTTTTGAGTGTAAAATCTAAGTGTAGATTTTATTCAATATTGATTCTTTGTGAAATATAAATACAGGAGGTAAAATGAGATACCCCTTTATGGATTACTGCCTTGTCATGGCGAAGGGGCTTGTTTAACTCAATGAAGCTATGAGCTATGCTGTGCAGGGCCACCCAAGACCAACAGGTCATAGCAGAGAGTTCTGCCAAAATGTGATCCACTGGAGAAGGAAATGGCAAACCACTCCAGTATCTTTGCCATGAAAACCGCATGGACAGTACTAAAAAGCAAAAAGATATGACGCTGGAAGATAAGCCCATCAGGTTGGAAGGTATCCAATATGCTACTGGGGAAGAGCAGAGGGCTATTACTAGTAGTGCCAGAAAGAGTGAAGTGACTGGGCTAAAGCTGAAAGGATGCTCAGCTGTGGATATATCTGGGGTGAAAGGAAAGTCCAATGCTGTAAAGATCTTTTCTCCATAGGAATCTGGAAAAAAAGATCCATGAATCAACACAAGCTAGACATAGTTAAACAAGAGATGACAAGACTGAACATCGACATCTTAGGAATCAGTGAACTAAAATGGACAGGAATGGGGAATTTAATTCAGAAGACCATCAGGTATACTACTGTGGGCAAGAATCCCTCAGAAGAAATGAAGTACCCTTCATAGTCAATAAAAGAATAGGAAAAGCAATATTGGGACACAATCCCCAAAATGACAGAATGATCTAAGTTCGAATCCAAGGCAAACCATACAATATCACAGTAGTCCAAATCTATGCCCCAACCACTGGTGCTGAAGAGGATGAAATTGACCGGTTCTATGAAGCCCTACAGCACCTTATAGAATTAACACCAAAAAAATGATGTCCTTATCATCATGGGGGATTGGAATGCTAAAGTAGGAAGTCAAAAGGTAACTGGAATAACAGGCAAGTTTGGCCTTGGAGTACAAAATGAAGCAGGGCCAGGCTGATAGAATTTTGTCAAGAGAATACGATGGTCATAACAAACACACTTTTCCAACAACCCAAGAGACAGCTCTACACATGGAAATCACCAGACGGTCAACACAGAAATCAGATTGACTATGTGCTCTGCAGCCAAAGATGGAGAAGCTCTATACAGTCAGTAGAAACAAGACCAGGAGCTGACTGTGGCTCAGATCATGAGCTTCTTCTTGCAAAATTTTGACTTAAATTGAAGAAAGTAGGGAAAAGCACTAGGCCACTCAGGTATAAACTAAATCATATTCCTGATGAATATGTAGAGTATTCAGTAGAGGTGACAAACAGATTGAAGGAATTAGATCTGATAGACAGAATGTCTGAAGAACTATGGATGGAGGTTCGCAACATTGTACAAGAGGTAGCAACTAAAACCATCCCAAAGAAAAAGAAATACAAGAAAGCAAAATGGCTGTTTGAGGAAGCTTTGCAAATAGCTGACGAAAGAAGGGAAGCGAAAGGCAAAGGAGAAAGAGAAAGATACACGCAATTGAATGCAGAATTCCATAGAATAGCTAGAAGAGATAAGAATGCCTTCTTAAATGAACAGTGCAAAGAAATAGAAGAAAACAACAGAATAGAGAGGACCAGAGATTTCTTCAAGAAAATTGGAGATATGAAGGGAATATTTCATGCAAAGATGGGCATGATAAAGGACCATAATGGCAGGGACCTAACAGAGGCAGAAGAAATTAAGAAGAGGTGGCAAAACCACACAGAAGAACTATACAATAACTAGCTTAATGTCCCAGATAATGACAATAGGGTGGTCACTGACTTCAAGTCAGATATCTTAGAATGTGAAGTGAAATAGGCCTTAGAAAATCTGAGGAACAACAAAGCTAGTGGAGGTGACAGTATTCCAGCTGAGTTATTCAAAATCTTAAAAGATGATGCAGCAAAAGTGCTACACTCAATTTGCCAGCAAACTTGGAAAACTCAGCAGTGGCCACAAGATTGGAAAAGGTCAGTTTACATTCCAATTCCAAAGAAAAGCAATGCCAAAGAATGTTCAAACTATTGCACCATTGCACTCATTTCACATGCTAGTAAAGTTATACTTAGAATCCTACAAGCTAAACTCCAGCAGTGTATGGATCAAGAACTACCAGAAGTACAGGCAGGATTTCGAAGAGGCAGAGGAACTAGAGATTAAATTGCCAACATACGCTGGATCATGGAGAAAGCTAGGGAGTTCCAGAAAAACATCTACTTCTGCTTCATTGATTATGCTAAAGCCTTTGATTGTGTGGATCACAACAAATTGTGACAAGTTCTTAAAGAGATGGGAGTACCAGACCATTTTATTTGTCTCTTGAGAAACCTATATGCAGGTCAAGAAGCAACAGTGAGAACTGGACACAGAACCACTGATTGGTTCAAAATTGGGAAAGGAGTCCAGCAAGGCTGTATATTGTTGCCCTGCCTATTTAACGTATATGCAGAGCACATCATGAGAAAGGCAGGGCTAGATGAATCAAAAGTTGGAATTAAGATTGCTGGGAGAAATATCAACAACCTAAGATATGCAGATGATACCACTCTATTGGCAGAAAGTGAAGAGGAACTAAAGAGCCTCTTGATGCGGGTGAAGAAGGAGAGTGCAAAGGTTGACTTGAAACTCAACATTAAGAAAACCAAAATCATGGCATCCAGCCCTTTCAATTCTTGGCAAATAGATGGATTAGTGACAGATTTTATTTTCCTGGGCTCCAAGATCACTTCAGATGGGGACTGCAGCCAAGAAATTAAAAGACATTTGTTCCTGGGGAGGAAAGCTATGGCAAATCTAGACATACTAAAAAGTGGAGACATCAACCTGCCAACAAAAGTGCATATAGTCAAGGCCATGGTTTTCCCAGTTGCAATGTATAGATGTGAAAGTTGGACCATAAGAAAGGCTGAGTGACAAAGAATTGAGGCCTTTGAACTATGGTGCTGGAAAAGACTCCTGTGAGTCCCTTGGACTTCAAGGCATTCAAACCAGTCAGTCCTAGAAGAGATCAACCCCGACTGCTCTTTAGAAGGGCAGATCCTGAAGCTGAAACTCAACTACTTTGGCCACCTAATGAGAAGGAAGGACTCACTGGAGAAGGGCCTAATGCTAGGAAAGATTGAGGGCAATAGAAGAAGGGGACGACAGAGAATAAGGTGGCTGGATAGACTCACTGAAGCAGTAGGCATGAACTTAAATGGACTCCAGAAGATGGTGGAGGACAGGAAGTCCTGGAGGAACATTATCCATGGGGTTGCAATTGGTTGGACACGAATTTGCAATTAACAACAACAACAAAATGAGATGTGAATATATTATTGAACACTATTATTGACCTCAGTGATTTATTGTAGGAACTAATTTTATTGTCAGTTAAATAAATATCAGAATTCACTTTTTTTTCCTTCCATAGTTTTCTCAAGGAATTTATGTGGAGAGATACAATGTTATAGGTACAAATGCAAATAAAAATGGATGCAATTTTTCAAATTTCTCTATTTTTGAAGCAACTGGGAAACATAAGATAGTAAAATAAACCGGGCTATGCTTCTATTGTAATCATAGTAACCCTTTCTACTTAAGATTGTCTTTAAAACATTACTAACAGAAGAATATTTATGGTATTAATGCCTACATCATTAAAAATAAAGCAGTAGTGGACTTTCCAAATTTACATTACCTCCCATGGCTTTTCAAGCAGAAATGTAAATCTCTCCTTCTCCACCATTCTTTTGTGTTTGAATTGGGATGAATACATGACATGCAAAGCATGAGCCACAGCAAAGACAGCATTATAGATGCTATAGCTATGTCCAGTAATGTTTTTTTCAAAATATTTTTCAGGAACATTCTCCAGTCTCTCTAGTCCAGAGCAGAAACCACTGTTTGTATGGTTCAAAACCCAGTTGGGGAAGGTGCAGCCAAAACCGTAAGACCAAAAGTCCCTTATGAAATAATCTTCTTTTGCATTGGAAGGCTTTCTATCCTGAATAAATTCCTGAAATCCTGGCAGCTCACTGGAATGGACAGCCAAGGATAAAGCACCATGGTAGACCTGCTTAGCAACTTTCAGTTCTTCTTCATTACCATAGTTTTTAAGCTCTAACTGGACAATCAAAATCCACACTTTACCCTTTATACTGTTTGTTATCTCACTGTCTTGTTCTATAGAAAGCAACCAGTCAAAAACCACAAGAGTGCGAAGATCACCAAACAGGAGAAATACATTGGCTGTGCTGGTCATGATTCTATTCCATATTGTAAATGCCCATTTCTTTATACCCCCAAAGTCAATATCCATGCCTACATTGTAGATTGTCTCTATAAAATCAAAGCAAATGCCATGAGTGGCAAATTCTGGAACCATAACTTGAAAAATCCATTCTGGATTAATTCCAGTTGCAGTGTAAAATCCAATCCAAGTCCACCTGAAAATGAGAAGTAATTGAAGAATTGCCCTATACTGATGGGCTTCATTTGGAACCATTTGATAGAAATATGGGGATTGGGTTTGATCCATCCTCACTGGAGCAGAGCCATAGGAGACCTAAATAGAATGGTAATTGAAGAAATGGCAAAGGAAAATTAATGTGTATATCTACTTGTTTTTATTATTAGTAGTAGTAGTAGTATTAGTATTAGTATCTCTGGGATCACACTTCAGTAAATGGACTAATTGTTGAAAAATAATATTGTCCAGAACAAAAATGTGGCAATTATTTGAGGAAAATTGCAGCTTTTGATAACAGTGGCCAACCAAAGTCACTCCAAGAGTGAGATGGGCAGCATATAAATTTAATTGTAAATCATGAATAAATAAATCATGATCAATTTTTAGGGCCACTCATCTTAAACAAACTGGCTTTGTGGAAAAGAAAATAATTAATTTTATATTTATATTGATTAGTTTTAAATATTATGAAGTGAGATGACTTTATACTAGCAACAATGAAAGATGTTTTAAGCTGACACTTCTTAAATTAGTTCTGTTACTATACAAATAAGTTCTATATATTTAAAAATACATCTATCCTTACTACATAAAGCATCAGGAGGGGAAAAAATAATCTTTAAAACCGAACATACATCCTACCTGAGGAATCTTGTAGATGCTAAAAATGTGTGGTATATGATGAGAAGATTCAATATCAAGCCCCTCAAGCACTGCAAGAAGATTGTCTTTACTATCACAGTGATAATTGGGGAGAAAATGCTTCTTTGGAGAAATAAGTTGCATTGCAGAACGAAAGGCCCACCTGGTATTGCTATGGCTATCATAGATATGGAATCCGAGGGTGATATTGGGTAGGATATGGGGATCTTCATTGATTTCCTTTATGGCAAAGACCAAGGCAAGAATATGCTGGTAGTTCTGAGTTATAACCCTACAGTGGGATTTCCATTATGTGTCAAACTAATTCAGCAACAAAATTATAAGCTATAATTTAAGAAGGATTTTTGGAACAAAATTTAGTCAACAAAACTACCTCACTGTGAAGAGCCAAAGCAAGTTAAATCAGTATATCAGTAAATATTTGGAACAGAGTATTTTAAAAACAAAGGAAAACTTACAGATTAAGGACATGATTTATAATTTTCTAATATACCTGCTTTTTTCCTTTCATCACAATTGATTTTAGAATTCATTAATATGTCAGTTGATATACCTCTGTTCCATTAGTGGGGAGCTATTATTGGCCAACCTACACAAAAGGCTGCTATCAGGGAACCCAAGACCTAAAGATTAGAGGAAGGCAAGGATGGATTCATTCTACACAATTGCCAAGAAATTTAGATGAGACATGTGAATTCTCTGATCAATGATTGTGAGTTAAATTAAACTTTACACACACACACACAATCTGATGGTTTTAAGTTTCTTATATATTTATTCCATTCTTATCATAGAAAAAAATCAAAAGTAGTAAATATATAAAGAGGAAACTGTGATGAGAAAACTGAATAATTATGTATCTTTTTTTTGGAAAAACATATTGTGCTTTCAAATTCTAACTTTTGAACAAAAAAAATGAATTAAGAGACTCTAGGTCCAAATGAATGAAACTGAATTCCCTAGTTGAAAGTTAAACATGCCTTATTGATCGTTTATCTACTTGAGTACCTAACTTTACATTGACTGAGCTAAGTATGTAACATTTGAGTTTAATTAAGCATATTTTAAGCACCAGCTATATAATTAATATTTCCTTGTAGAAGTAGGGGAGCAAAAATAGATTTGTAATCTGTACTCGATTTCAGCAATATAATCTACTCCATTCCTTGCTGCAATAAACCAAACCCATCAAGCTGCTCTTCTACATATCATTCTGCTCAGAAGCATACAGAATGCAAACCCAATTCCTTACAGGTAGCTTTCAGAGTATGTTGGAGGTGGCGGTTCATCAAAAAGTTTTGGACTGGAGACAAAGAAGGTATGAGAAACAAGGCCACCGACGAGTAAATCCCCTGGTTGAAGATACTTGTGAAAAATGAAATGATGATCCATAATTTGACAATTATTTTTTTTCTGCCATGCCATGTGAGGCAGTAGGAGAAAAAGTAACACTACTGCTATCAACATACTAAGTAGAAATTGACCTCTAAACTAACACAAATACCACAGACATTAAAAATCTCTATGAAAGCAATGGTGAGATTTGAATGAAAATTGAAATGTATATCCTTGAATTGATCTGACTGAAATCTGTCACTAATTTTTAAATCTAGATATATATATACACACACATACAATATATAAACTCAGAAAAATGAGTTTATATATTATGTCTAACCATACACACATATATACTTTTATTTTTGTCAACAAGTTTGATATTTGACAGCACAGAGACTGGAAAGCAGAGAAATAATTATAGGTCTTGGATAAATTATCTAGAATTGGCGAATCCTCTGTAGCATTGCTCTGTCTTCTCCTTGAAAGTTTATTACAACTGATGCAATGTGTAAATAAGACTTTTTTTGTGGCAGACTTTATTTCTATTAACTTGCATCACTCCAAAGAGATATTTTTCATCTTCTTGGAGACAAATGTAGACATTAGAAATTAGGCAAACATTTAGAGCAGTAATTCTTAAATATCTAAAATACTTGAATGACTGCAGCTATAATACATATATACACACTTACTTTGGGGTGGGCCCTTGCCATTAGCCCTTTCATCATCTTAACCAGCATTGTCATCAGCATTTTAAACTTACCTCGGTGAAACTATGGAAGGCTTACTAAGGCAGCCCTTCAGCTTTCTTTGATCTAATGTCTCAAATCTAATCATTATTATCTTGTTCATCCTATCATTCCTATCAATGCCATCATCATTTAAAGGCAAATGTGTGCCTTACTTCTATAATTTAAATGCCTTTGTTCCAATCTTCAATCCAAACACTCACTGGAACTGACAAAATAAAACCTGTTGTAAAAAACTAGGACTTACTAGGTTTAACAGGGGCATTTTGCTTCACTGAGCAAAGTACATAGTCAAAACAAAATTGTTAGAAGTGTCCCTTGCTTAAAATGGTGGTACCCATGCTGCTTTATTAGTTGGGGTGGGTTGCATTGTTGTCACTGCAAAGCCAAAGCACTAAATTGGAACTCATATATTTTAAGAAGTTTCATGGGCCATTCTGCCAATTTTCTTTCTATTAAAGGGTAGATTTGAGGAAGTAATCCAGTTGATAATGTCCATTGCAACTAATAACCTCTTCTTCTCATCAAAGGAGAGATGGTCTCCAGCACTGTTTCTGAATGAGACACTTCTGAGAAAGTGATGAAGCTGGATTGAAAAGGAAAATTCCATTCAAGTGTGATTTTCCTTCCTTTTCCCTGAAGGATTTCGCTTTCTTTACCTTTGGTGCCAAAGCACTAAATTGTAACTCGTCTATTTTACACAATTATATTAAATCTTACTTTGTCCAAAAACATTTAGGGCTTTTCGTGTATTTTTGCTAATGCCCACATTTAGGACATTCACAGTATCTCTGTCTCTCTCACACACATACTCCAATTCAATCAGTTAGTACGCACAGTCGTGTGTCTCACTTGGTTTTTCTTCTTTTTCTCTACCTTGCAGAATGAAGATATTGCCTAAACAAGAAACCTTTTCCCAAACTGTTTTATCCTCAGCTCAGCAGATCCCTAAAAAGTGCTAATGTATAGCTTGATGTATGTGTGCCCTATGTGTTCCTGTTTACTCTTTTCCTCTACAATAAATGTAAATAAATCCATTAATTATCTTCTGGTAAATTATTCTAGTGCAGAGGTAAGCACTAGGGGGGTAAGGGCACAGGAGTATGAAAAAAGAACTATAAGATTTTCTCTTTAACCAACTTCCCTGTAAATTCTGGAAGCTTTCCTCCTATTTGGGTTCACCTGGCAGTTTGGGGTCATATCCTTCTGATGCTATAAAGGAAAGGAAAAATGAATTAAAATCATAAGCACAGTAGTGGTCAAATGACTTTTCATTTAACAACCATTTCAGTTAATGACTGAATTACCAATCCCAATTGCATTGGTAAAAGGGGACTACCTGTGATATTCTTGTGCATTAGATTATGGAATGCTAAAGATCCTGAAATATGTCTTTTGAGGAGGAAAACAATATTATTTAGGAATATAAGGTTTATATTTTAATGGTGCTTTTTTAATAGAACAAGTCTTGGAGTGAGAGTCAGAAGAGAAATATTAAACATAGTTTATATTTTGGCTCACGAGGCAGATATACATGTAACAGATCTGCTAAACATGAATTAATAAATTTCATTAATGGGGTGGGGAAATTCTCATTTCAGTTTGACAATATGCTTAGGTATTATTTGTGCATGAAATATCTTGATGTCTGACTTTTTTCCCTTCTATTTGAGATTTGTATTTTGCAGCCTTCTTTGTTGATCTTCCTTCTTGTTACTATTCTTTAATTGATACTGGAGTGTAATGTTGATGATTGATTACTACTCTTTTTAAAAGTTTTTTATTTGTAATACAATTAAAACAAAAATGGACAAGCGTGACATTCCAGAGTAAGTATTTCAAATAGTTTGTTTCTCGTGGTACAAAAAGATAATACACCATTCTTAACCTCTATATAAGCCTCATCCTTCTATGTAATACAATTAAATATACAATTATATGTACAGTTATATATACATTTCAGTCCTATCATTAACTTGAGATCCGAGCAGTTCTTCTTAATTACCAATGGTAAAATTTTCCCAGATTTCAAAGTATTCAAGTTCTGTCTTGTCCTTCATAATCATTGTAAGCCTGTCCATCTCAGCACATGAAAGGATTTTATACAGGATCTCTTCTTCCGTTGGAACTCTCTTATTCCTCCAATTTTGAGCAAAGACCAGTCTGGAAGCCGTTAGAATGTGTAACATTAAATAAAGAACACTATTTAGGACACATTTTAGCTAATCTTATGGGTGGGAAATGCCATCTATAGAACATTTTATAGAGGTTTTCTTTGTAAGAGGTGGCCAAAGTAAGCTTTTTGTTTCTTACCCATAGTTCTTGCCAGATATGCAGATCAAAATTAAGACCAAAATCCTTGCTCCATTTTAACATAGTCACTTTTACTTGTTCCTCATTGCCAGATCTAACAAATTGTGGTATAATTTTTAATCATTTTATCCTCTGATCTCAATATTATTTTATCCAATTCTATTGGTTCTAATTTAATGCCTAACTCTTTTTTATCTTTCCAATATCTCGCCTGCAGTTACAGATATGCCCACCATTCTAATTCTATCCCTTCATCCTGGAGGGTTTTCCTGGATTTCAATTCCCCTCTTTCATCTAAAATATTTTTATATGTTATGATCTTATCTAAATGAGTAAATTTTGGGTGTACATATATTTCTAATGGTGAGATCCAACTAGGTACTTGGGTATAAATTGGTTGCCAAATTTTTGTCCATACATTGATAAGAGCTTGTCTAATATAGTGTCTTCAAAAATATTTATGTATTTTATATTTATGATCCCATAATATAGCATGCCATCCTATTTGTAGGTCATGATTCTCCAGACATAGTAGTCTCCTGTTCTTTAATAATATCCAATCTCTTACCCATACTAGTGCCTGGTAGTATTTCTCCAAGTCTGGAAGGCCAAAGATTGATTAGTACTCTTAATATGTTTACTGTAACTATAAACTGCTGTCAACTATAAAGTATTAAAACAAATTAATATACTTTGGTTTAAATATTGATTGTGAAATCTGACATATTTGCTTACTAAGAGGTCAAGTGAATTGAGTTACATTTGTGTTATTTTCTTTATTATTTTGGGTATTATGGTAGAAAGAACTTAGAAGCAAAGATTGAGTAATTGACTATGTGCCATTAAGTCATTATAGATTTTTAAGCCACATAGATTTTCTCCATGACAATCTCTCCCTCATTTGAATATCTATGAAGATTTTCAGTCATCCAGCTCTTAGTTGTATCAAAAATGTTTTATTTTGTTTTTTGAAAAGGAAACTGGAGTGTTTTTTTTTGGGGGGGGAAAGAAGAGGTTTTTTTTCCTATCCTGGAAGATTCATCAGTTGCATTGGATGGTGTGGGAGATGGGAGGACAGTTATTGACAGTTGAGATTAGTTGGTGAGAGAGGGAATGATATGTTCTGACAGGATGGTGTGGGGATGGGAATGGAAAGATTTTCTTTTCCCTCTTTACTGGTAGGCAAACTTTCAGCTCAGTGGTATAAGTCCTCGAGTTAATGGCGAAAGAAGAGCACGCATTCTATAGCCAACAACTGTTTATTCTTCTTCTGCTCACTCCAACACAACTCAGAGGCTTGCAGGCCTCTCTCACATTAAATAGATCCCTGGGCAGAAAGGTTACAATAGAAAATTGCGCGCTTTCGCGCCTTGCTCATGCGCGCAGGCTGGTGCCGCTTAATCTGGTCCTGGGCAGCTTGCAACAGTCTGGGATCATAGCAATGTCCTAAGCCTGTTTTTGCAGGCTCAGGACACAACATCCCTTCCTCCCTGGATAAAACTTAATCAATCTATACAGATATAGATATATGCGACCTCCCTGAAGGGACGTGGTATTTTTATCCAGCATTGAAATGAATGGACTGTGGATGTTATTACACTTCTGTATGGTACCATGCTAGCATTTTGGAAATACATGCCTAATACACACAGTTCCAACTTCACCATGCAATATGGTATATCTGCCTTAGTTTCCCTTAGCCTGACAGCATTTTCACATATTCTTTAAGGTATTTGGGAGGGTGTTTAACCCATTGCGACCTCCTTGGCCCTTGGGAACACCCTTGGCTTTCCTGTGCAGTTACTGGAGTCTTTGTTGCCCTGGTGGTCTCCATGACCTGGGTTCTGATGCCTGGTCTGCTTGCTCACCCACTGGGCTTGGCAGACCAGGACTTTCCTCCTCCCCATACCTGGTTGATCTGGCTAAGTGTAGGCTGTCTGGACCCTCTGAGTCCCACCCAGTATTTTGTGGGTTTATGGTATTTTCCAGGTCCACAATAGACCCATTTTGGGAACACAGTCCCTCACTCCCAAGCCCAGTAGATGGGTTGTCTGGGGTCTCTGCGGTGCCCCAATACCCTAATTCCCCCCATTCAGTGCCGGAGGTACCAGAATCAGGATTTGCCTCTCTGACTACCCCCTTTTTTCTGATTTCCTTTTGGAAGCAATTGCAGCATTTGGCCAATTTCTTCGAGTGGATGCCAGTTCTATAGTAGGGTTTGGGTTGTTTGGATGCTCCTGGTTAGTCTCCCTGTCTGGAGTGCTGTATTGAGTTTGTGAATAGTGTGAGTACCCCCTGTGTAACTCCCTGGCTGGAATAAGTAGTGGCGTGTACATTGTTCCTTGTTCCCATGAATTCCTGTTGGGCACACTTGCGGAACCTTGGGAGGGGCCTTTCCCTGCCTTTTCATTTACCCCTGACTGCTGACAGTGACCTTCCCTTTGCACACTATAACCCCTCTCCGCCCCCCAGAGAAAACCCAGGAGTGGAAGAGTCCAGTCTCGTACACAGCTGATCAATGTGCCGCCGGAGAACGCAGCCGTTGTCCAAGGACACCTCGTAGGACAAAGGTCCAGTGACCTTGCAAACCACAGCTGGAATCCAAAGATGACCGGGCCCGTAGTTCTGGGTCCAAACCAGAGAGCCCACTTGCAAACACCTTGGTGCCTGTGGCTGTGACACCATAGGCGCCACCCTGTCAGGGTGCAACCTGTCAAGTTTCGTTATCAGTCTACGACCCCAGCAGAGCTCTTCCCAGTGGAAGTACAAGGTGTGGTGTGGTATGCAAGAAGAAAATCTGCCAACCTGTGATGCCAGTCATCGTAAGTCAGTTGTTTGAGGGCATCCTTGGTGGTGCTGCAAAAATTCCTCTCAACACCTGGATGGTCCTGGCAGTAGTAGTAGAGGAAACAAGAACAACTTCCAACTACTTTGAATGGCTATCAACAAGAACCAAGAAGAATTGCCCCTGAAAGGGCCCAGCGTAATCTATATGCACTCTGGACCAAGGTGATTGTGTTTCCTCCCACCTATGCACAGGGGCCTGAGGCATTTCTGGCCATGAGCGCTGGCACAAGTGACATCCGTGCACCTAGGCCTCTATATCCTTGTCAAACCGAGGCCACCATAGATGGCTGCGCGCAAGAGATTTCATCCTGACAATGCCAGGATGACCCTCATGGAGAGAGACCAAGATTCTAGGTCTCAGTGAGGTAGGAATAATTACTCTGCTGCTCCACAACAGGCAACCCTTAAAGGTGGAAAACTCATGCTTCTTGAGCCAGAAGCTTTGGAACTCAGTACCTGGACTTCTCTCAGGCCATCCAGACAAACCCATGAAAGCACACGTGTAAGAGTGAGGTCTGTGGCTGTTTCTGCAGCCACAGACCTGGCATTTAAGGGAGATTCAGGCAAATCCTGAATGGAGAGAATATTGATGGCAGGAGCAGGGTCTGCTTCTACCAGTTTCAGAGGTAGTCTGCTTAGGCCATCAGTGTGGCCCATTTCCTTTCCAGGTTTGTGAATCAAAGAATAATCATATGCTGACAAAAAAATAGACCACCTCAGCATTCTAGGAGAAATAATATGAGGGGTTTGTTTGTTAGTTGTACACAATCCCAACAGGGGCTTATGGTCTGTGTAGACCATGAAATGTCGGCCATATAAAAAATCATGGAATTTCTTAATTCCCTCTACTATGGCCAATGCTTCCCTGTCTATTTGAGCGTAATTACGCTCAGCAGAAGATAGAGTCCTGGAGTAATATGCTACAGGAACCTGAGTTCCATCAGCCCTCAAATGGCTAAGTACAGCTCCCACCCCATAAGGAGATGCATCACAAGCGATGCAGACAGGTAATTTTTCATTGAAATGTGTGCAAACACATCACTGGATGTAAGCAAGGCCTTGACCTCATTGAAGCACTTTTCGTGGACTTTGGACCACTGCCAAACTGCCTGCTTGTCTAAAAGCCTATGTAGTGGTTCTACCACAGCAGCTTTGTGAGGTAGGAAAGTGTTGTAAAAATTCAAGAGACCTAGAAAAGCCTGCAGTTCACTTTTAGACTTGGAGCTAGGAGCCTGCAGTATAGCCTTCAATTTAGATGCAGCAGGGTGAATACCTTGGGCATCTATTCTGAATCCCAAGAAATCTGTAGAAGTGACTCCTATCTTACACTTGTCTCTTTTTAATTTTAGGCCTGCTCTTCGGAAACAAAGCAAAACAGCCCTCAATCTCTCTGCTAAATTCTGAGTGGATTCTCCAGCAATAAGGACACCATCAAAATAGGGGCAAACTCCAGGGATACCCCAAGGTGTACTCGCCATGACTCTTTGGAATATTCCAGGGGCTACATTTACTCCAAATTGCAGTCTCCCCTCTTGGGAGCAATGTCCCATAGGCATAAGGCCACAGATGGAGTGGCCTGAACAGCCGGTTGCATGCAATTTTCCATAGACCCAGTGCCAGAGTCAGGAGCTGCCTCATTGGCAAAACCCCTATGTGCAAAGCGCAAAGCCCTTCTTTTGCAGGAAGACTGAGATCCATGATCATGATTGTGGTCCTCCTCCCCCGAGAGCAGAGTCAGGAGTGGAAGGGTGACTGGGTAGCCTCCAGTGCAGCTGGTCAATGTGCTGACGCAACACACCATCGTCCAGGCCACTTTGTATGACAATGGTCCAGTGACTTTGCAGACACTGCTGTCACCTAGAGATGTCCAGGTCCATTGTTCCTTGCCCAAACCGGATCGCCCACCTGTAGTCTCCTAGGTGCCCACGACTGTGACATTTGTGAAGCCACCTGGTCTGGGTGCAATCTGTCCAGTTTGGTAATGAGACAGCGACCCCAGTAGAGTTCAGCTGGGCTTTTCCCAGTAGCTGTGCAAGGTATGGTGCTTTGGCAAAGAAGAAAGTCAGCTAACTTGTAATGCCAGCTCATCCCAGCTTGGCTGTTGGAAGCTGGAGGGAATGGTGGTGAAGTAGCATGATGGATCATGTTGACCTGTAGGAAAGCCTGAAACTCAGAAGAAGTGAATTGAAGCCGGTTGTCGGAGACAAGAACATCTAGGAGCCCATGGGAGGCGAAGATGCCCCTCAACACCTGGATGGTTCTGGCAGTCATCGTAGTGGACACTGGAACGACCTCTAGCCATGTAGAGTGACTGTCCACAACAATGAGGAAAAATTGCCCCTGAAAGGGGCCAGCATAGTTGATATGAACCCTCAACCAAGGAGCATGTGTGTCCTCCCACCTGTGTACAGGAGCCTGTGGCATTTCAGGCCTGGACTGTTGGCAAACATGGCAACTCTGGACCTGGATCTCAATCTCCTCAAGCCCCGGCCACCAGAGATAGCTGCGTGCAAGCGCCTTCATCCAGACTACACCCGGATTTCCCTCATGCAGAGACTGCAAGACTCTAGTCCTCAATGAGGTTGGGATCACTACTCTGCTACCCCATAGGACAAAACCCTTAAAGGTGGATAGCTCATGCTTCCTTTTCCAGAAACTCTGGAAATTAGTGCCAGGACATGTGTCAGGCCATCCTGACAGCACCTATGTCAACACACGTGTTAGCATGTGATCATTGGCTGTTTCTGCAGTCACATCCCTTGCATTGAGAGGTGACTCAGGCAAATCCTGGATAGCTAATTTGTGGTTAGCTGGAGCAGGATCTGATTCTACAAGCTGTAGAGGCAACCTGCCAAGGCCATCTGCATGGCCCATTTCTTTGCCTATTTGTGAACCAATGAGTAATCATATGCAGAAAGGAAAATTGACCATCTCAACATTCTAGGTGAAATTATGTGTGAGGTTTGCTTGTTTGTTGTAAACAACCCGAGCAGTGGCTTATGATCTGTAAAGACCATGAAGTGGTGACCATACAAAAAGTCATGGAACTTTTTTATGCCAGCCACTATGACCAAGACTTCTCTATCTGTGAGTAATTACGCTCAGCAGATGACAGGGTCCTAGAATAGTAGGCTACAGGGACTTGTGTTCCATCAGCCTTAAGGTGACTTAAGACAGCCCCGATCCCATAAGGGGATGCATCGCAGGCTATACACACTGGTAGCTACTCATTGAAATGAGCAAGAACAGCATTTGAAGACAACAATGCCTTGACCTATACAAAACTCCTTTCGTGAACTTTAGTCCACTTCCATGGAGCCTGCTTGTCCAAGACCCAGTGTAAGGGCTCTGCCACTGCAGCTTTGTGAGGTAGAAAGGAGTGATAGAAATTTAGAAGCCCAAGAAAAGCTTGAAGCTTGCTCTTCAACTTGGGGCTTGGGGCCTGCTGAATCGCTTTGAGCTTAGATTCAGCAGGATGGATGCCTTCTGCATCTATATGAAACCCCAGGAATTCAGTGGAAGTGACTCCAATTTTGCATTTATCTTGCCTAAGCTTCAGCCCTGCTTCACGGAACTGCAGCAAAATGGACCAAAGCCTCTGAGCCAAGTTTTTGGGTGATTCCCCTCAGATGAGAACATCATCGAAGTAAGGGCAAACTCCCAGAAGTTTACAGAGCGTTCACTCCATAACGCTTTGGAAAATGCCAGGAGTTACATTAACCTCAAACTGGAGTCTTCTGACTTTCAAGGCCCCCTGGTGCGTTATGATCGTCTGGGCCTCAGCCATTGCCTCATCAACTGGTAGCTGTTGATAGGCCTGAGCCAAATCAAGTTTGGTGAAAGCTCAGCCTCCCTTAAGCAAGGCCAAATGCACCTCACCACAGGCACTGGATAAGAATGCTGCTGTAATGGTTTGTTTAGCATGCATTTATAGTCAGCACAAATGTGGACTTGCCCATTGGCCTTCAGTGGCGTCACTATAGGTGTTTCCCATGGATTGCTATCCACAGATTCCAAAATACCTTGCTGAAGCAGTTTGTCCAGCTTGGTATTAATCTTTTGCTTCAGCACAAAAGGCGCCTGATGAGGCTTAATCCTAATCTGGGCAATGGATGGCAAAGCAATTGGAGGCCCATTGTACAACCCTAGTTCTGGACTAAGCACATCAGCAAACTCCTTACAAACTTCTGCAAGGCCTGCCATTTGCAAGCTGTAAGCCCAGTCACTTGAATCCCAAGTCAAATTAGACTCATGCGATCGCCCTCTACCACATTGTTCAGGAACCCTTTAAATTTCCTACGGTGCACCTTGAGCGTGGTCTCCCCATTTACCCTGACTTGGAAATTCTGAAAATCTGTTAAGACCAGATTCAACGGCCTGAGTTTAACTCTCTGGCCACTTCTACAGCAGATCTGCTTGAGGGTGTTCTGGGATATGATTGACAGAGCTGAACCCATGTCCAGCTCCATTGTTAAGGGGACCCCCTGCAATTTGACATCAATGCAAAGCTTCTTCTTTAATGGCCTGTGGGCCCCTGTGTTCAAAATGCTCCTGCATTCTGTCTGGGGACCCTGATACCTTTCCAATGCAATTTTTCTGAAGGATGGTCTTTCATGCAACCCAAACAGACGGTGGCTATGTGGCCTTGGCAGCCACATGCCCGGCAAATGACAGAGCAGAAACAGCAATCAGAGCACTTGTGATGGCCTCCACATCTGAAACAGTAAGGGAATTGAACTGCCTTATCAGCTCGCTCTTGGGGCCTTCTCTCTGCTGGCTGCTGTAGATGGTCAACCTCGTTTTCAGAATCCAGATCAGCTACCTCTCAAGCAACCGCTTGATGGATGGAGCCTGAACTCGTAGGATGCTTGGAAAGCCACAAGGCCTTGACTGCTCCTCCTGCTGCTTTGTGATCTCCCTTAGTGCATCTGGAAGGAAACATCTTCCTTTGCAAAAACCTTTTGTTTGTAGCTCAAGGCTCCTCAAACCACAAACTAGATGATCTTGAAATCTTTCCTCCAGGTCTTTAAACTCACAGGGTCTAGCAGCTTGTCGAAGCGCAGCAATAAAGTCTGCAGCAGACTCTCCTGGCTGTTGGTCCTGCTGTTTGAATGTGTGATGCCAGGCAATCACCAATAGCTTCAGTTCAAAATGTTCCCTTAACATTTTCTTCAACTCAGTATAAATGATGGATTCCAGAGGTGCTGGGGCAACCAGATTTTTGGCAATATCAAATGTCTCTTGCCCATAGGCACACAGTAACTTGTGGCTTTGAGTTCATCTTCCCAAACTTAGTTTACTTGGAAGTAGTTTTCTACTCTGGCCACATACGAGCTCCAACGTTCAGGGTGAGCTGTATCGAATTCGGACAAATGCCCTATCTTCGACATTATTACTTCTTGGTTGCCTTGTCAACGCCTTGTGCTGCTCTGGCTTATGAAGGGGTTCCAGGACGAATCTTGCCGAGCTCTCCTCTAGCATCTTCATACTGGCAGGCAGAGTTGCACGAATCGGAACGCCGAACTTCCAAGCACTTTGGGCCTTCCATGGTGAGTCAGCCTATTTTCTTTCATTGTTTTCTTACAGCACCATCCCACCTTCATTGCCAATTATCTGTTCTGTGTGTTGGTAAGGCATTAAGACGAGGCAGGAGTAACAACAGTTGCTTCTTTATTTAATCTTCAACAGAACAACACAAAATGGCACAGATCCCTTTTATACCTCCTTACAGGGAGCAGCATCAACCAATCAATGCAATGTATCTTTCCTGCCTTGTCCATGCGCAATAGCCTGGAGACAGCCTATCTGGCCCGGGCAGCCACGTGGCCTGCTGGGTCTCTCTGCACCTTCCTGCACCTGCTGTGTCAATCACAGTCCAGGACACAACACATAGTATTTTAAATTCATTAATATTTAACCTGCCACAAGACTTTGCATTGCTATTCTTCAGCAGACAAATACAAGTATTCCATGTAGAATGACTACTTAAACATTTAAACATAAATATTGCAATATATTTTTCCAATGTAGTTTTCTTAAAAAGGTAGGTTGCAGCTAAATGCAGGAATGGAATATTTTTGATCTAAAAAAAATCTATGTGCAGAAATAGTTTTTCAGTAAATAGTTATGGATCATGTAAGTATTTCACAACACACTCAAGAGATTTTTTTTATTGTAAATTCAGTTTGTCAGTAATTAATAATTAATATAATTCCCATACGAATACATTGAAAAGGACTCTCATATAAATTGTTTCAAAATTTAAATACTTCCCTTATGTATGCATTGAAGGAAAGACCATATGACTATTTGCTTAACTTTATATTTTGCTTTTCTAAAATAAATGAAGAAGTCAAGATGTTCAATTCTGGCATTTTCCTACCCCTCCTTTGTGTGTGTTTGTGTTTGTGTGTGTGTTTGTGTGGTTGTGGGGGGGGTGAGTGCCAGAGGTACAAATCTGAAGAAGATACAAAGAAGTGTGATGGAGGTTAGATGTGGGCAACTAGTAGTAGGTTGCTCACATTACTATAATATCATTATAGAGGACAGACTGAACATGTGTCATCTTTAGGTTCTATATAAGAGAAAAATAAGTCTTTGGTCTTCAGCACTTCCTTCTTATCAAGTGTTCTCTCTTGTTCAGCTCTGGCCTCAAGAGAATAATATAACTTTTGGGGAAAAAAATAAATCCCAACAAACCAGCACTAGAAGCAAAGATGGAGAAGATTTCTACAGCAACCATGTATTTTCCTTTGGTGCTCAGATAGGTTGGAACAAAAGACAACCACACGCTGCAAAATACCAACATACTGAATGTGATGAATTTGGCTTCATTGAAAGTGTCAGGTAACTTCCTGGCAAGAAAAGCCACAGAGAAGCTGATAATAGCCAAAAAGCCCAGGTAACCCAGGACACAATAAAACATGACCATTGACCCCTCATTGCACCGCAGTATGATTTCTTCATTCACGGAATGCGTATCAACTTCTACAAAAGGTGGAGAGGTCCACATCCATGAAATGCAAATGCTTGCCTGAATCAGAAAGCAGAAAAAAAGGACCGAGTTGGTCACCCACCTCCTCATCTTGGATCCAGGATGGGTGGCTAAGAATGCCAAAACTACTGTGATCGTTTTTGCCAGCACACAAGAAACTACAACTGAGAAGATGATGCCAAAAGCAGTTTGTCGGATAAGACAGGTCACCTGCTTAGGACGGCCAATGAACAAGTACACACAAAAGAAGCAGTGCAGGAGAGACACCAGAAGTGTGTAAGTGAGGTTTCGATTATTGGCTACAACAATTGGGCTGTTGTGATGTTTTAGGAATATTCCCAGCACCAGAGCTGTAATCAAAGAAAAGAAAAGAGCAAAGAAAGAAAAACTAATCCCAAGAGGTTCTCCATAAGATAAGAAACTTACATATCTGGGCAGACAGAAATTTTTGTTTTTATTTGGATAGAATTCATTTCTGCAGATATAGCAATCTCTTATATCTGAAAAAGAAAAATACATGGTTTCAGTTCCTGTATCAAATCTATATACCAAACTGATGCCACAAAACATAGTTACTAGGAGCCTTCTGGAAATGCTCTTTGTCCCAATCAATGATCCAAGTGGGTCATTTTCAATCAACCTTTTTTTTCTCTCAAGGGGATCCTAGAAATGTAATTATATTATATTTCTTATTTCAAAAAGTGATAGTTGACTCTCACTATTATTAATTCTGATTACAGAATTATTCAAATATTAATATTGAAAAATCTTTTACCTGAATCTCTTTTTCATGATGATGATAACAATGATGATGATGATGACGACGGTGATCATGATCTAAGGATTTGTAGAGCTGTCTTTTTCCCCACTTCCCTAACCATTCTTTTTTTTCTCTTCTTTACCATTTCAACAGGGAACATTAACTTAAATGTATTCATCATGCATCATTTACCCTTTCCTAAGGATCCCCTTTCTATTCAACACTTTCCTCTGAATTTTTCATCTCTGACAAAGGCAAAAAATTACTGATTCATCATTTTATTTATATTCTACCTTTCCTTTGACAGTTAAAGGTGACATAGAGTACAGCTCTCCTTTTATCTCCACAACAATGGAGACCCAATGGATAGGTCTATTTGAGAGAGAGTACAGATAGTCTTTGACTTACAATATTTCATTTTAGTGACCAAAGTTATAACGGCACTGAAAAAAGTGACTTACGACCATTTTTCACACTTATGACTGTTGCAGTATCCTGATGATCAAAATTCAGACGCCAAGCAACTGACTCATATTTATGATGGTGTTGTATTTTGCAACCATCATCGAAGATTCATACCTATAGTCATGTGATCCCCTTTTGTGACCTTCTGACAAGCAAAGTCAATGGAGATGCCAGATTTACTTAACAGCCGTATTACTAATTTAATAACTGCAGTGATTCTCTTAACCAATTTGGCAAGAAAAGTGGTAAAATGGGACAAAACCCACTTAACAAATTTCTCACTTAACAACATACATTCTGGGCTCAATAGTGGTTGTAAGTCAAGAACTACCTGTAATTAAAAATAACTTAGTAAGCTCCCTGATTGAATAAGGATTTAAAACATATTTTCCACAAGTCTACACCTAACATCTAGATATAGATATTTTCTGTACATAACAGTTCATTTATTTATCTTAATTTTTACCTTCCTTCTCTGAAATTTTTCCATCTGGACATGGAATGCACTCATAGCAACAGAATGGCTTCCCTTCCTTTACTTTCTTGCTAGTACCAGGTTGGCAATGTTCAGTACATATCGAGGTTGGCTGGATCTAATTAGAAATGTAAGAAGAGAGTAAATTGGAGAATAATCATAGATTCAAAATCCTGTTGATTCTTGTTCATTTCCTTTTGTTATTAGAGTTGCAGAAGAATCAGATTTAAAAAAAAATCCCATTTCTTTGTCAAAATGCTATCCTGTAGGTGGGATCTACTGCTTATTATCTGATTGTTATATAAAGATAAATAAGTACATGAATTTTTGTTTGCAAAGATTTTTCACTGACTTCCAATCTATCAGATCATGTTTATTCTGGCCAGACTTTGCATTTTCATTCTTTTTTGAAAAAATCTACCAAATGTTTGGATAAATGGTAAAATAATGACATTACTAAATATGCACATATATTTGTAAACTTGGTACATTATACCATTGCATATGAATGCAGGATCATTGGAAGAGGCATGAGAATCAAGATTCTTGCTTTGAAGGAACTGTGCTATGAGTGTGTGACATCTGGTGGTGCAGAGCTTAGAATGCAGTACTACAGGCTACTTCTGCTGACTCCTGACTGCCAGCAGTGTGGCAGTTCGAGTCTTACTGAGATTGGTAAAATGATGACCCAGATTGTTGGGAGCAATATGCTGAGTCTGTAAACCCCTTAGAGAGGGCTGTAAAGCATTGTGAAGTACTATATAAGTTTAAGTGCTATTGCTATTGCTATCTGTGTAATGCATCCACTGTCTATATCTGTATATGTTTGGTCACCATGAACCAGTCTTACAAGCATTATTTAAATAACGAAAATTGCCAAAAGGAAGTCTCCAATAAGGAGGCACAGCCAGAAACCAGCTCCACTAAACCCACCAAGTACATTGTAATCGCTAATCAAAGGAGAAAGAGAAAGATACACCCAATTGAATGCAGAATTCCAGAGAGTAGCTAGCAGAGATAAGAATGCCTTCTTAAATGAACAGTGCAAAGAAATAGAAGAAAACAACAGAATAGGGAGGACCAGAGATCTCTTCAAGAAAATTGGAGATATGAAGGGAACGTTTCATGCAAAGATGGGCAGGATAAAGGACCAAAATGGCAGAGACCTAACAGAGGCAGAAGAGATTAAGAAGAGATGGCAAAACTACACAGAAGAACTATACAAGAATGAGCTTAACATCCCAGATAACCACAATGAGATGGTCACTGACCTCGAACCAGACATCCTAAAATGTGAAGTGAAATGGGCCTTAGAAAATCTGAGCAACAACAAAGCTAGTGGAGGTGACAGTATTCCAGCTGAGCTATTCAAAATCTTAAAAGACGATGCAGTAAAAGTGCTACACTCAATTTGCCAGCAAATTTGGAAAACTCAACATTGGCCACAGGATTGGAAAAGGTCAGTTTACATTCCAATTCCAAAGAAAGGCAATGCCAAAGAATGTTCAAACTATCGCACCATTACACTCATTTCACATGCTAGTAAAGTTATGCTTAAAATCCTACAAGCTACACTCCAGCAGTATGTGGATCGAGAACTACCAGAAGTACAGGCAGGATTTCGAAAAGGCAGAGGAACTAGAGATCAAATTGCCAACATACGCTGGATCATGGAGAAAGCTAGGGAGTTCCAGAAAAACATATACTTCTGCTTCATTGACTATGCAAAAGCCTTTGATTTGTGGATCACAACAAATTGTGGCAAGTTCTTAAAGAGATGGGAGTACCAGACCATCTTATTTGTCTCTTCAGAAACTTATATGCGGGTCAAGAAGCAACAGTGAGAACTGGACATGGAACCACTGATTGGTTCAAAATTGGAAAAGGAGTCCGGCAAGACTGTATACTGTCGCCCTGCCTATTTAACTTATATGCAGAGCACATCATGAGAAAGGCAGGGCTAGATTAATCAAAAGTTGGAATTAAGATTGCCGGGAGAAATATCAACAACCTAAGATATGCAGATGATACCACTCTAATGGCAGAAAGTGAAGAGGAACTAAAGAGCCTCTTGATGCGGGTGAAGAAGGAGAGTGCAAAAGTTGGCTTGAAACTCAACATTAAGAAAACCAAAATCATGGCATCCGGCCCTCTCAATTCCTGCAAATAGATGGGGAAGAAATGGAGGTAGTGACAGATTTTATTTTTCTGGGCTCCAAGATCACCTCAGATGGGGACTGCAGCCAAGAAATTAAAAGACGCTTGCTCCTGGGGAGGAAAGCTATGGCAAATCTAGACAGCATTCTAAAAAGCAGAGACATCACCCTGCCAACAAAAGTGCGTAAAGTCCAGGCCATGGTTTTCCCAGTTGCAATGTATGGCTGTGAAAGTTGGACCATAAGAAAGGCAGAGCGCAAAAGAATTGAGGCCTTTGAACTATGGTGCTGGAGAAGACTCCTGCGAGTCCCTTGGACTGCAAGGCGTTCAAACCGGTCAGTCCTAGAAGAGATCAACCCTGACTTCTCTTTAGAAGGCCAGATCCTGAAGTTGAAACTCAAATACTTTGGCCACCTAATGAGAAGGAAGGACTCACTGGAAAAGGGCCTAATGCTGGGAAAGATTGAGGGCAATAGAAGAAGGGGACGACAGAGAATGAGATGGCTGGATGGAGTCACTGAAGCAGTAGGTGTGAACTTAAATGGACTCCAGAAGATGGTAGAGGACAGGAAGACTTGGAGGAATGTTGTCCATGGGGTCGCGATGGGTCGGACACGACTTCGCAATTAACAACAACAATTTGATCTAGTTCGGTGAATGCAGTTAATCTTTAAGAAAATCAGAGCAGATCCAAGTCAGCAATACTTGGGTGAAATCAGTTGTTACAGTAATTGTTATGTTCTGTACATTGGTAAGGCATTGATATAAGGCAGGAGTAACAACAGTTGCTTCTTTATTCAAGCTTCAACAGAACAACACAAAATGGCGTGGATCCTTTTTATACCCTTTTGCAGGGAACAGCGTCAGCCAATAAATGCAATGTATTTTCCTACTTTGCATGTGCACAATAGGCTGGAGACAGCCTGTTTGGCCCAGGCAGCCACATGGTCTGCCTGGGTCTCCCTACAGCTCCCTGCACCTGCCCTGTCAATCACAGGCCCAGGACATAACACCTCTCCCCTCTTGGTTCAAAAAAATAGACACTACTATTTTTAACTACTACAAGGTTACTCTTTTCAGCGTGTTCTTATTTCTAGGAAACCCTTAGGCCTGCCAGCTTACTGACAGGAAAATTACATAATCTTGTAAGAACTTTGGAGGGCCTCTGACCCTCTCCATGCATCTCAGAGCTGCTGCAAGTGCCCGATCTGCAAGCTCGCCTGCCAGGCTAAACAGACTGGGACTTTGAGGCCCAATTGATACAGGTGAACTCGCATCTTGCTGACTGGTCCTGTAAGCCCAACCCTTTGTCCATTTGACTTTGGATGGCTCTTTTCGGTAAGCCCAGACCAGAGTTCCTTGGTGGGGTGGAATTCCCCAGGTCAGTGAGAGACCCTGGTAGGGAGCACTGTCCCGTAGGCACAAGGCCTGTAGTAAATGTTGCATGAAAAGCCGGTTGTGTGCAATGTCCCATGGACCCCATGCCAAGTCAGGAGCCGCCTCGTTGGCAAAACCCCTATTTGAAGAGTACAAACCCCCGCTTTTGCAGAGAGACTGAGATCCATGATCGTGATCGTGGTCCTCCTCCCCACCGAGAGCAGAGTCAGGAGTGGAAGGGTGAGTAGCCTCCATCGCAGCTGGTCAATGTGCCAATGCAGCATGTGACCATCTTCCAAGGCCACTTCCTATGACAGTGGCCCAGTGATCTTGGGCCACTGCTGTCACCCAGAGATGTCCAGGTCCATAGTTCCTTGCCAAACTGGATCGCCCACCTGTAGTCTCCTCGGTGCCGGCGGCTGTGAAATCTGTGAAGCCACCTGGTCTGGTTGCAATCTGTCCAGTTTGGTAATGAGACAGCGACCTCAGTGGAGTTCAGCTGGGCGTTTGCCTGTAGCTATGCAAGGTGTGGTGCAGTGGCAAAAGAAAAAATCAGCTAACCTGTGGTGCCAGCTCCCATGAGTGAGCCTCTTCAAGGCATCTTTGGTTGTGTGCACCATGTGCACAGCTTGGCCATTGGAAGCTGAATGAAAGGGTGCTGAAGTAGCATGACAAATCATGTTGGCTTGCAGGAAAGCCTGGAATTCCAAAGAGGTGAATTGAGGTCCGTTGTCAGAGATAAGAACATCTGGCAGCCCGTGAGAGGTGAAAATCTCCCTCAGCACCTGGATGGTCCTGGCAGTAGTCGTGGTGGACACTGGAATGATCTCTAGCCATTTAGAGTGACTGTCCACAACAATGAGGAAAAATTGGTCCTGAAAGGGGCCAGTGTGGTCTATATGAACACTTGACCAAGAAGCATGTCTGTCCTCCCACCTATGCACAGGAGCCTGTGGCATTTCAGGACTGGACTATTGGAAAATGTGGCACCCCTGGACCTGGATCTCAATCTCCTTATCAACCCCAGGCTATCAGAGATAGCTGTGTGCAAGTGCCTTCATCCAGACTATTCCCAGATATCCCTCATGCAGAGACTGCAAGACTCTAGTCTTCAATGAGGTTGGGATCACTATCCTGCTACCCCACAGGACACAACCTTTAAAGGTGGATAGTTCATGCTTCTTTTTCCAGAAAATCTGGAAATTAGTGCCAGGACACGTGTCAGACCAACCTGACAGCACTCATGTCAATATATGCATTAGCGTGTGTTCAGTGGCTATTTCTGTAGCCACATCCCTTGCATTGAGAGGAGACTCAGGCAAATCCTGGATAGCCAGGATGTGCTTAACTGGACCAGGATCTGATTCTACAACCTGTAGAGGGAACCTACTAAGGCCATCAGCATGGCCCATTTCTTTGCCTATTTGTGAACCAGGGAGTAGTCATACGCAGAAAGGAAAATTGACCACCTCAACATTCAAGGAGAAATTATGTGTGAGGTTTGCTTGTTCATTGTGAACAACCCCAGTAGTGGCTTGTGGGCTTGAATCCCAAGTGCCTCGAACCAATCAAGTCCGATTAGACTCGTGCGGTCACCCTCAACCACAACAATGTCCAGAAACTCTTCGAAATTCCTATGCTGCACTCTGAGTGTGGCTTCCCCTTTCACACTGACTCGGGAATTCTGGAAGTCTATTAAGATAAGATTTGACGGCCTGAGTTTAACTCTCTGGCCACTTCTACAGCAGATCTCTGGGAAATGATTGGCAGAGCTGAACCCGTGCCCAGCTCCCTCATTAAGGGGACCCCCTGCAATTTGACATCAATATTCAGCTTCTTCTTCAATGGCCGGTGGGCCCCTGTTCTCAAAATGTTCCTGTGGGTCATGCAGAAACCCACCCTATTCTGGCTGGGGACCCTGATACCTTTCCGAGGCAATTCTTCCAATGGACAGTCTTTCTTGTGACCGAAACAGATGGTGGCTATGTGGCCTTGCTGGCCACACACCCGGCAAGTAGCAGAGCTGGAAAGATCGTATGAACAGTAAATATTATGCTTATTATGCTTAGTGGCTTGGTTGAAAATTGGAGAACTTTGTTCTCATATATAATTCAATGTATACTCTGCTTTACATTGCCATAACACAGTTTCAGTCAATTTAAAGACATGTTCCAGGTATTGTTTCAGTAGACCTACATTTGTTATACCATTTTGTTTATAGCACTTTTTCAGTTTTTCAATCAACTGTTATTTGAATTAATCATTAAACTGAAGCACAGTGAAACTTACTTGGTTAAACCAGCTGTGCCATACTATGGCATCTTTACTGATGATCAATGTTTCTTCTATAGTAGTTTCTTGAGCCATTTTGCCAATTTTCTTTCTATGAAAGGATAGATTTGAGGAAATAATCCAGTTGATAAGGTCCATTCCAACTAATAACCTCCTATTCTCATCAAAGGAGATATCATCTCCAGCACTGTTGTTGAATGAGACACTTCTGAGAAAGTGATGAAGTTGGATTGAAAAGGAAAATTCAATTCAAATGAGATTTTTCTTCCTTTTCCCTGAAGGATTTCCCTTCCTTTTCACTTCTTTTCTTTCCCTAATTTTCTAGCATAAGGAAAGCCATAATGAGGGGAAAATTTCTATCAGCCTTTTTCATTTGTGTTACTTAATTGGGGGGGGGGGATCCTATTGAAGAATTTTTCATTGCTTTATAGAGATTTGCAAAAGTTGACCACTTGGTTTCTCTGCTTACAGATTAAACAGAATATTTTTAAAAAAACAAAATCATTTCTGTCTAGGTCAAGTGTTAGGTTTAGTTCAACAGAGTTCAAATTCTTGCTCTCCATTACATCTGTAATATAAAATTGACTATATTCAAAGGAAGGCACCACCACCATCACTGCATTTATACTGCTGAATTTTCCAATATCTTTTATTTTATTCTATATCATTATGTGCAATAAATATTAGTGTTAAGCATGAAATTTCTCTAAAATTCAAGTTCATGTTCAAAGTATCTGCAATTTTATGGAGAACAGATGGAGAAACTAGGGATAAAATTTCTATCAAGTTTCCATACTGCAAATTTGAAGCCTTTTACCTGCAAAGAGCGCATCATTTTGGATTGATCCATTCTTGCTTTTTGTCTGAGCCTTGATGCAGTCATGGAATGCAAGGCATAGGCCACACTATAGACAGCATTATATATACTGTAGCTATGGCCAATCGTATTCATTTCAAAAAAAGAGCCAGGAACATTCTGCAGGTTCTCCTTGCCTGTGCAAATGAGTCCTACAACTTTATCCTGAATTCTATTTGGAAATGCACAGTTAAAGACATGTTGCCAGAAGTCCAGCAGAAAGCCATCCTCTTTGTTATTTAATGGCTTCTGACTCTGAATGAAATCTTGAAACCCATGAAGTTCTTTGGTGTGAATTGTAAAGGACAGAGCACCATGTAATAATTTTAAACTCCAGGTCCTTTGATAGTTCAAAACACTGAGCTCCATCTGAGTAATCATTACCCATACTTTACCTTTTAATTGATTTATATACGATTTTTGTACTCCAAATTCAGAAATGTAGGGAAACCATATCAAAAACAAAATGGAATAAGATACTCCATAGTACACCACTATATTGGCTTTGCTGGACATGACAACTTCGTAAATTTTTGCTCCTTGAATTAACATGTTTTCATGTTCTGCAGAGTAATTTATTCTAGGGATAATTTCTATGAAGGCAAAGCAGATGCCTTGATTAGAAAACGCTGGAATAACAGCACGTACAAATCTTTCTCCTCTCTCATCGTCCATAGCAAGGATCCCAATCCATGTCCATGAGAAATAGAGAAGCAGAGAGAGGATTCCAACATGCTGAAGATCATCTTTAGGGGCCATTTGGTAGAAAGACTGGCCTGAAGTTTTATCATTCATCTCTGGAGCTGATCCATAAATGATCTGAATATAATTCATTAAAGGAAACAGATTACTAATAGATTTGCATAGCAAATTCTGGATTGCTATACTTTTAAATCTTCTACAATTTATACATTTTTACAGAATACTATGTATGATAGTTTAAGACAATTTTAAAATAAAGTTTAGAACACTTCTTGTCATCATTGGCATTGATCCAGTATCATCCCAAATACTGATATGTTAAAAAAATGTTGCTTCCATTTTATCTTCTGTTCTATTGTGTCTGATTCAGAGATCGACTGGACAAATCCCTGCAGTTTAAGAAGTAGTTTGCCATTGCCTTCTTCCTAGGCCTCAAAGAAAATGACTAGCCCAAGGTTTTGTGCCTAAGGTAGGATTAGAATTCACAGTCTCCCAGTTTCTAGCTGGCTACCATAATCACTATACCAAACTGTTTCTTCCATCAATTTACTTAATGGTAAAAAAGCAGTAAATTTATATTTTTGGAGACAATAATATAAGATGGCAGACATTTATTTGACAAAATACTGTTTCCAACCAAAATTTAACAGTAGTGAGTGGATACATTTTATATTTAAAATTATTCTCAAAATTTTTACTAGTTCAGGAATTGTTGAACAGCATAAATAATCATAAACTACTGAACGACTATTTATTAAAAGATTTTAGACAAGATAAAATATTGTCTAAAACAGGCTTAAGTTAGCAAAGTGGTATTGATTTCATAAAGATAGAAAATGGAAGTTATCTTATTTTCAGGCTCCCACATCCCAGCCCCTGAACCTAACTTTCACAGAACTTCATTTTCAGATAATGCTAAGAGACTATTTGGATGGATGATACAAATTACACGTTTTTACACATTGGTGATAATTCATAAATGGAAGATCTGATCCACTATTACATCACAAATATATCACAAACCAAAAGTTAGATTTATTGTGTTTTTGTATTCCCAACTGAATCATCCCAGCAGAGAAGTAAAAATCAATTTCCTACTAACTGATGTACATAAACAAGTAACAAAACAAGTTGCATTGTTTGCAATGGCCACAAGGAGAATATGAATGCAGACATTGACAGATAATGATATCAATTATAAAGGAATGAACTGAAATCATGCAGAATGTTGTAATTTCATATTAATTTTTCTGGAAACCATGGTTGTAAATAAATGTAGTCTATATAAAACATTGCTTAAAATACTTCTCAATGTTCCATATCAGAGCATAACATAATAGCTGCACTAGCATTTCAATAGCCATAGTCACAGTAAAGAATTATGGGTCAATACTTTATGTAAAATTGAAAATGTCCTTCTTACCTTCTCTGCTAAAAATGGCTCACAGAAAGTTATGGACAGCAGAGAGGAAGCTAGTATTTAAACCCATAACCTTTGTAAGCATTACAAAATCTTAGGTATTTGTCTCTATCATGTAGATCCCATTAAAACAGGAGCACAAAGTATGTAATAGTATTGCTGGCTTCAGGAAATAAGTTATGATATAAATTCAGAGAAAGATTGAGGGCAATAGAAGAAGAGGATGACAGAGAATGAGGTGGATGGATGGAGTCACTGAAGCAGTAGGCATGAACTTAAATGGACTCCAGAAGATGGTGAAGGACAGGAAAGCCTGGAGGAACATTGTCCATGGGGTCATGATGGATCGGACATGACTTCGCAACTAACAACAGCAATAAATTCAGAAGGATTATATGTAAAAGAACATTCTATAAAACATTGCTCGCACTCTTGTCTAAATATATTTAAATCAATCAAAAAGAAAATAATACAAAATGATTTGCTCTACTTGACCACATCTCAGGCATACTGCTTCACATGTTCATGCACAAACACAAAATGCATATATACTTGTATATGGTAGCAGTCAATCCCAATCTGACATCAATCTGAACTGTTTGGACAGCAACCATCTCCAATGTTTATAAATACAATTCTGAGAATTTTGATTTCATATATAAGGAGTGAGATAGGGAAGACTGTTTTCCAGTGCATCACCTTAATATGTAGAATTCACTCTGTCATCTTCATCCTGTTTGCCTCTTCAATTCCATCAGAAGCCCCAACCTCATTCTAAGATTTTGTGAAAATTTCCATCATAAGCATAGCAGTGTTCCAATATCTAAGGGGCTGCCACAAACAACAAAAGGGTCAACCTATTCTCCAAAGCACCTGAAGAAAGAATAAGAAGCAATGGATGGAAACTAATCAAGGAGAGAACCAAGCTAGAACTCAGGACAAATTTCCTGAGAATAAGAATTTCCTGAGAAAAATAAGGAGAAATTTTCCACTATTAATCAGTGGAACAGCTTGCCTTGAGAAGTTGGAGATTTTTAAGAAGAGATTCAACAACCAGTTATCTGAAATAGTAAAGGTCTCCTGCTTGAGCAGCAGGTGAGACTAGATCTCCAAGGTCCTTTCCAACTCTGTTCTTCTGTTCCTCATCCTAGTCTAAAACATGAATAAATTTTCTTGAACCCATTTCTTCAACTAAAGAACTCCCATTTCATAATGTCAGTCTGAACCACCATCAAATTGATTATGGAAACCTTTATATCTGCCAACGAAAATAATGTTTAATGGATAATTTCTAGGTTATAAATGATCCTAAGAGGAAAAAGACATTTCAAGCATTTTTAAAGAAAACAAAATGTAATACCTTGGATCAAGGCATGAAAAAATGAAGTTTAGTAGATGCAACCAACTGTCCATATTCTCCCAACTAGCAATTATTCCCCATGGGATCTATACAGTATGCCTTGCTGAAAATACTTCTACATGATGAAAGGGATAGATGAATATTAAATTGCCTGTCAGACAATGAATTCTAGATTTTACGATCTTGTGTTTACACATTGAGTTATGCTATTGCCTAAAAACCCATATTTATAAGAGGGAAGACTGTAAAATGTTTCCCTTTCTTTTGATTCTAAAGAAAAGGAAGATAAGTGAACCTAATATATTGTTTTATTTCCTTTACTGGAATATATTCAGAGCAACACATAATTCACATTTCTTTCTCTTCCATTCTGATTTTTTTTTAAAAAAAAATGGAGGAATTCTGATAGAAATTTGGCAGTATAAAATCTTAGTTATCCTGCCATATCTAAACTTTTAACAATATATTAGCTCAAATGCCTAGGTAGGATGGATCATCTAATCAATGTTTGCTATTCTCTGAAATAGGGGTCCCCAACCCCAGTCCATGGACCAGTACCAGGCTGCAGTATGCCAGAAACTGGTCCCCACAAAGCCCCATCTTTGTGATGCAGGCAGCACACAAAACCATGCATTCTCCAGTCCATGGAAAAACCTTTCTCTGGTGCCCAAAAGGTTAGGGACCTCTGCTCGAAAACAAAAGTAGGGATCAGTTTAGTTAATACAATGATGAAAGCTATTAGGATTCCCAGGGTTGTGTACTAGAACTGAGAAATGAGCAGCCATTATATAGAGAGAAAACAAACCATTTCTTTATTTGAATTTACATGAAAATTACACAGGTAAATTCATATGGTCATCAGGAAATGAGCTTGATCTGGAAGAGATATTATAATTCTTCTAGTAATTGAGTATGACATGTAGATTTCCAGAGCATTAAATATTTTCTATCTGATACTAGTTTCCTTCAACCAATTATTTTTCAAGCTAGAATAGTTCTGTAAGTAGTTTTATTTTAAAATGTTTATTTATAAATAAATGAATACATAACTTTACTTATTCATGTGTGTTTCATCTACATAAAAGTTAAGACCTGCCTGATTATCCCTGATCCATTTATTTCAGTCTCTATGAATAGAAAATTCCAATAAGAAAAGATAAGAATGAAATGAAACATATGAAAGGCTAAAGATATTGTATAATATCTAAGAGGGATGAGAGACTATAAGATTATCATTCCCTTCCTTCCTTCCTTCCTTCCTTCTTTCCTTCCTTTCTTCCTTTCTTCCTTTTGATTTGTTCTATATCTTTTATTCTATAAAAAGTAATCTTAATATAAATAAATTAAGAACAAAATGAAACCCAATTCCAATATTACAGTGTAAGAGAAAAATCATTATCTTACCTGCGGAATTTTATAGATATCCAAAATATTTGCTATATGAAAGGAAGTTTCGGCATCAAGTCCTCCAATGACTACTATTAAGTTATTTTGGATACCACATTTATAATTGGGAATAAATCTATCTGCTGTAGACATTAGCTGTATTGTGGTATGATATGTTCTCTTTGCATTGAAATAGCTGTCATAGATGTGGAAACCCAAGGAAAAATTAGGTAGCAACTGGAAATTTTCATTTATTTCCTTTACTGCAAATGCCAAAGCCAGGATATGCTGATAATGCTTAGTCAGGATGCTAGAACAAGAGTTGCATTATGATCAGCAGGATAGATTATAACCCACTTATTTCTAAATATTTCACATTTAATTTACATTATCATCATCATCATCATCATCATTATTATTATTATTATTGAAACAAAACTTATTCTGGGAGTTATGTAATGATAACAGATAAACTTTATCAATGTAAGTTTTAATTATAAGTAGAGTATTTCCTATGAATTCTTACTGTCTTTTATTCTAGATGGTTATTTATAAAACAATTTAATTATCCAATTCAAATGCATATTGAGAATTACATACCTATATAATAATAATATCAGCCAAAGATATTAGGGTCAAAAATACAAGGTTCATTCAATAGAAATTGAAAGGAGGGGCTCCAAATACTGCATGGCTATCTTATCAAATTTTGGGCAAACAGCAATGCATGTTACTGTTAAAAAAGGAAGTTTCATAACACCCACGTTGTATCTATGTGTTCATTTCAAAGAAAGTCTTTCTTTCCAGAAGGTTAAAGTGCTGATATGTATTATTCAAAGGTGGAAAAACCAGAACATGTCAATTCTAAATGGAATGCCAGTTTGTTACAGTGATTAACCAAGCTAGAAACCATAACCATGAATTCTAGTCTGTGAATTTTAGTCCTGCCTTGGGCAAAAAGCCAACTGGGTGACCTTGGAGTAGTCACACCCGCTCATCCCCAGGAAGGAGGCATTGGCAAACCACTTCTGGAAAAAAAATACCAAGAAAACTGCAGGAACATGTCCAGACAGTTTCTGAAGATTGGACACAATTGAATGGAAGGGGAAAAAGTTATATAAATAGGGTGAGATCAAAATTATGATAGCAAAATAACTGGATGACTTAGAAAGATCTCTATTTCTGATCACATATAATGAAAATCTACAGCATTTGATGGGATACACAATGAAACTAATTATCTCTAGGACAAATATACAAGTGATTTGATGGCAATGAAAATAGAATAGGTCAGTGCATAGGAGAAGAGGGAGTGGAATGACAGAAAATTTGCTAAGGAACAAACATTTAAAGATATTTAAAATTAAGCAACTAATTTATTGCTAACTCAATATTTTATATAGCAACTTACTTCTTAGTAAGCAGGCAGCAGACTGCTGTATCCATCTTAAGCTGTAGATTTAAGTGGGAAAAAGGAGAAATTCCTTACCTAAGATCTTGGTATACCACTGGTGGAGGTTCTACATTAAAAGTCAGGGGATCAGAAACAATAAAAGACAGAGAAACAACAGCACCAATGATGAGATCTCCAAGCTTATAATACTTATGAACTGGAGGTTGTGGATCATAGACATAATATCTGAGTACATGAGCATGGCAAGCTATTTGAGAAAGTAGCAGCATCAATATTATCATCATTTTGAGTACAAATACAAATAATCTAAATCGGACCTCTTTTTTAAAACTACAATGTTTTAATTACAATCATGATTAAAATAATTTGGATGAATAGGCATCTCAAGTTTTTCAAGTTATTTAACTGGAATATATAAAGTAGGAAATCTGAGACCACAAAAGAATATATTTTTTGTCTCAAATCTTTAGCTGTGCTAAATGTCATAGTCCTTTTGTTAAGGTATAATGAAACTGCACAAGAGAATTTGACAAACAGCAGGATTAATTAGTGATTAACTAATAATAATCACTTTACATTTGGGAAATCCTGGTACTTAATTTGTTTATCACAAATGAACAGAACCTTTCCAGGCCTATCAAGGGACAATTGGGTCTAAAATGATTTGTCTCAAGAAACAGATACATAAATGATAGGAGTATTATTTGGGGCTACAGAAGACATGTTGACACATAAAAGTCTTTTAGTTTGGCATTCTTAAATGTTTTCAGATGTTAATGTCTGAAATGCTGAGTCAATAGTTTTGACTGTTATCATTCTAATCATTGAAAAGTGTCCAGGTTGGGGAAGGATTGATATAATTTTTTTATAAATATTTTATTAATTTTCTATTTTTTCAATCAAGTGCCTAATAGACAACATGGTCACTACGTTCATTAGTGTGGTACATTGTAAGATTCTTCAAACTAAATCCAATATTACACCCTCCAGTACATCCTCTCTTCTTCTGGTAGTAGACATTTTTCCACACTAAGCAAATACAATTCTTATTGTTATGAGTAAATATACAATTGCCTATCAACATTTCTTACATTTTTCTAATAGTGTTAATAATATCAGTTTAGAATATCTTTTCTAACCAAAGGATATCTTAATTGTATTTGCACCCAATATTCATTTTTCAGTCTATATCCTATTTTCACATTTTTCAATTTTAATTCCCCATCCATGTCATCATCCAGACAAATGATAGGACAGAATGATCAAACTCAGTGCTGGAGAAATACCTGGCTTGTTTTATTAATTATCAACAAGATGACTAGATGGGCCTCTTGTCATTTGCTGAAGTAGCTTATAATAATGCTGTTCACACCAGTACATTTTAACTGGTGACTGGGCAAGAATTTAATCCAATGTTTGAACTACCAGCCCAGGAAACCCTGATCCCCTTTTTAAAAGAGTGGATCAATCAATTGAAAAATATGTGGCCCATTGTAAGCAAAGCCTTGGTAGATGCCCAGGCAATTTATAAAGCCCAAGCTGACAAAAAGAGAGTGAAACCTAAACCATTCCTCATTGGGGACCGTGTATATTGTCCTCCCAGTTCCTTCAGTCCCTACAAATGTCATGGTTCCGATAGATGAGACCAACTAAAACAGAGCTCCTAGG